GAGAGAATGTTTTCTCTCCATGTGACTCTCCTTAGGCACACTCTACATCATCGATCACTTTCCTCTTTGTCCCTATAATTTTCTTGATCAGAAAATTTGGGACACTACTGAGTGAGGATTTATCATGAAACACTGTACCACAGTTTGTAGATCCTTCGTCAGTGTCAGCCATGTGGATGAGTGAAGGTCATTGCTTGACCAATTTGCTTAATGTGAAAGCCTGAGAGAATGTTTTCTCTCCACGTGACTCCTTAGGCACACTCTACCTTGTCGATTACTTCCCTCTGTAGCCCCATAATCTTCTTGATCAGAAAATTTAGGTCATCACTGAGTTACAGGATGTTATAGCACAGGTTCTTTTATGTCCTGAGTCCTCACTGACCTTGAAAGGCTAGCGCGAAAATGTTGGCTGTCCTTGTAGCCATTTGTTTTTCTCTAATTTTTGGTCTGCAAAGCTAAGCTGTTAACCCTCCAAAAGAGAAGCTTAATGATGTTATTACTCTGTAACATAGGCAGTGGAGCTCAACCTATCTGTCTCAATATTAAACATCATAGACATACAATGGAACGGGTTTTTTCCATCAAGTATTTATATGTTAAACTTTAAAGCACTACAAAGTTTGTAGAAAAAAAGAAAAATGAAATAAAAATATTTCAAAATTTATAATGAACTATTACATATTTTTACATGGAAACTTGAAAATCTAACCATATACAGCACTGTAGCAGAACAGTCATATTACATTTTTGTTTCTTTTCTCTTGTTTTTATTTTTTACCCTTTTAAAAAACCAAACATTTACTTAAGAGACAATGTGGCAGTAATTGATATGACATGACAAGCAGTATGTATTTAGAAGATCAGAATGACAGGTATTCCAAGCATGACCTTATCATTACACCTTGCTATCTTCAGTGCAGTTGCTTAGTCACAGGTAGCAGCATATATAGTTAGTCAGGGTGAGAATTATACCAATGAACTGCTAGCTTCCAAAACCTGCTGAATATTTGCAGGATCATTGCTTTAAACATCTTGTGCTTATAAATGTATGTTTTTGCCCCTGTCATATTTCCTAGCCTTTCTCCTTGCCATCTTCATTGTTCAATCTTTAAGTTCTCTCTTTCCTTTTAATTCTGTTATACCGTTCTATTTTTATTTCTTCTTTTGAGTTCTTACACTAGGATACTGTATGATATTTACACATGTGGGTCTGGTTTATTTCACTTATGAGTACATCTTCAAGTGACATCCACTTAAATATAAAGGCTTCGAGTTTATCATTCTTTCCAGCTGAGTAATAGTACATTGTA